CAGCCACCAAATTCCCAACCGCCAAATTCCCAGCCACCAAATTCCCAGCCGCCAAATCATATTTAAGTTTCCCGCCACCTGCGAGTCCCTACTACCCTCCCTCCGACCCCCGCAACTGGCAGCCAGCCCTCCCACCACTCAGTGTGGTGAGTGTTTTGTTTGTTCATTATTTGCTATTAAACTACAGTATAAATAATGTAAACCCATTCATGACTGCATATTGGAATGGCTATTCGGACAGGTATTAGACAGTGACATCATGTGTTTACTCTTTAACACTCCAAAGAATTAAAGATTTCTGCTACAGCTAATAATAACAATAGTAATAATAATAATAATAATAATAATAATAATAATAATAATAATAATAATAATAAATATGATATAATTGAAGAAGGAAATTGTACAAAAATACGAGGGAGTGGTTGACACATCGTCAGTGTGGCTTTGTTTATGCTGGAGTGAACATTAGTCTCCCTGCTCTCACAATAATTCATTGTGTTTGGTGCTTGTAGATTGAGTGTGACTGAAGTGGTAGAGGCAATGATTGAGGCAATGGTATTTAATAACATACATGTTAATAATAATACATGTTATTAATAATATGTACTATTATTATTTATAACATATATGTTATTAAATACATACATGTTGTTAATAATAACATGTACTATTTCTTGATAGTTGTGACAGAACTCACAGGCACAACACCAGACACAAACATCTCAACGACATTCCCCGTGTTCGACTAAACCTTTACAAAAATTCAATGTATGTCAAAGGCCCTAAAATCTGGAACACCCTACCTGAGAACTCTAGAACTGCAGACACATTCATCACCTTCAAAACTACCATTAGAAAACATCTTATCTCCCTGATACACCCCATCAACTAACTACACGAATACCACCTGGTGGTTCACACTTACACTCACTCACCCATTTGACCATAAACAGAAATATCAATCTCAATCTCAAAATAATGAATCTTAACTAGTCATAAGTTGGCCTGTGATACTCCAATACTGAAACTATGTATAGTGCCAAAACAAAAGCATTCACATTGCTAAACTCATAACTAGTATTTAGTCACTTAGCCATAATACCAACTTACCTCATAATTTTGTAATATTTTAAACTTAAGATTTAATATAAGTCTGCCCGAAATGCCTAGCCATGCTAGGTGTTCTAGTGGTACACTCTGTAATGCCTAGCCATGCTAGGTGTTCTAGTGGTACACTCTGTAATGCCTAGCCATGCTAGGTGTTCTAGTGGTACACTCTGTAATACCTAGCCATGCTAGGTGTTCTAGTGGTACACTCTGTAATTATTATTTTACTACATGTAAACCACACAATAACCAAATTCTGTAAACTCAGCATTGTAATCCTTATAGAGAATAAACTTTGACCAGTACAGTAAAATCGGACCATTGATCCAAGTCGGTGCCCTGGTGATGGACCAGGTGCTTCAGCTCCCTCGGTGCCCTGGTGATGGACCAGGTGCTTCAGCTCCCTCGGTGCCCTGGTGATGGACCAGGTGCTTCAGCTCCCTCGGTGCCCTGGTGATGGACCAGGTGTTTCAGCTCCCTCGGTGCCCTGGTGATGGACCAGGTGCTTCAGCTCCCTCGGTGCCCTGGTGATGGACCAGGTGCTTCAGCTCCCTCGGTGCCCTGGTGATGGACCAGGTGCTTCAGCTCCCTCGGTGCCCTGGTGTATGGACCAGGTGCTTCAGCTCCCTCGGTGCCCTGGTGATGGACCAGGTGTTTCAGCTCCCTCAGTGCCCTGGTGATGGACCAGGTGCTTCAGCTCCCTCGGTGCCCTGGTGATGGACCAGGTGCTTCAGCTCCCTCGGTTGCCCTGGTGATGGACCAGGTGCTTCAGCTCCCTCGGTGCCCTGGTGATGGACCAGGTGCTTCAGCTCCCTCGGTGCCCTGATGGACCAGGTGCTTCAGCTCCCTCGGTGCCCTGGTGATGGACCAGGTGCTTCAGCTCCCTCGGTGCCCTGGTGATGGACCAGGTGCTTCAGCTCCCTCAGTGCCCTGGTGATGGACCAAGTGCTTCAGCTCCCTCGGTGCCCTGGTGATGGACCAGGTGCTTCAGCTCCCTCGGTGCCCTGGTGATGGACCAGGTGCTTCAGCTCCCTCGGTGCCCTGGTTATGGACCAGGTGCTTCAGCTCCCTTGGTACCCTGGTGATGGACCAGGTGCTTCAGCTCCCTTGGTGCCCTGGTTATGGACCAGGTGCTTCAGCTCCCTTGGTACCCTGGTGATGGACCAGGTGCTTCAGCTCCCTCGGTGCCCTGGTGATGGACCAGGTGCTTCAGCTCCCTCGGTGCCCTGGTGATGGACCAGGTGCTTCAGCTCCCTTGGTGCCCTGGTGATGGACCAAGTGCTTCAGCTCCCTCGGTGCCCTGGTGATGGACCAGGTGCTTCAGCTCCCTCGGTGCCCTGGTGATGGACCAGGTGCTTCAGCTCCCTCGGTGCCCTGGTGATGGACCAAGTGGGAGGGGCTGGGTTTTAATGGTGTCATTGGGTACGGGAGTTATTTCTTGGGTATGTATAGGTAGTGGTCGTTTTGATAAGGACCTGCCTCGCATGGGCTAGTAGGCCTTCTGCAGTGTTCCTACATTCTTATGTTTATGTTAAATCCATTTGTTCTCTAGGCTTCCTTAACTTGTTTATCTCACTCCAAAACTTTTTCTTATTTTCAACAAAATTTGTTGATAACATCTCACCCGCTCTCTTTTTACATTGCTTCACCACTCTCTTAACCTCTCTCTTTTTCTCCATATACTCTTCCCTCCTTGCATCACTTCTACTTTGTAAAAACTTCTCATATGCTAACTTTTTCTCCCTTACTACTCTCTTTACATCATCATTCCACCAATCGCTCCTCTTCCCTCCCGCACCCACTTTCCTGTAACCACAAACTTCTGCTGAACACTCTAACACTACATTTTTAAACCTACCCCATACCTCTTCGACCCCATTGCCTATGCTCTCATTAGCCCATCTATCCTCCAATAGCTGTTTATATCTTACCCTAACTGCCTCCTCTTTTAGTTTATAAACCTTCACCTCTCTCTTCCCTGATGCTTCTATTCTCTTTGTTATCCCATCTACCTTTTACTCTCAGTGTAGCTACAACTAGAAAGTGATCTGATATATCTGTGGCCCCTCTATAAACCTGTACATCCTGAAGTCTACTCAACAGTCTTTTATCTACCAATACATAATCCAACAAACTACTGTCATTTCGCCCTACATCATATCTTGTATACTTATTTATCCTCTTTTTCTTAAAATATGTATTACCTATAACTAAAACCCCTTTCTATACAAAGTTCAATCAAAGGGCTCCCATTATCATTTACACCTGGCACCCCAAAAATTACCTACCACACCCTCTCTAAAAGTTTCTCCTACTTAGCATTCAGGTCCCCTACCACAATTACTCTCTCACTTGGTTCAAAGGCTCCTATACATTCACTTAACATCTCCCAAAATCTCTCTCTCTCCTCTACATTCCTCTCTTCTCCAGGTGCATACACGCTTATTATGACCCACTTTTCGCATCCAACCTTTACTTTAATCCACATAATTCTTGAATTTACACATTCATATTCTCTTTTCTCCTTCCATAACTGATCCTTCAACATTACTGTTACCCCTTCCTCTGCTCTAACTCTCTCAGATACTCCAGATTTAATCCCATTTATTCCCCCCACCGAAACTCCCCTATCCCCTTCAGCTTTGTTTCGCTTAGGGCCAGGACATCCAACTTCTTTTCATTCATAACATCAGCAATCATTTGTTCAACTAATATGACATAATAAACAATATTAATAACATAGAAACATGGAATATACTCTAGAATGAATAAGTCATTACGTATGTCATGAGAGGTGTTGTGTTGTGTTGTTGTTGGGTATATAAGGGTCACTGAGAGTAAGCCGTCCATAATGGTGGTGAAGCAGCAGCTGAGGCGGCGGTGTTTTCTGTAGCCCTGTATAACTCCAACAACATTGGAGGAGTTGGTAGAATTGCTGAATCACTAAAGAAGGAACCCTCTACCACCATCACTACGACCTTCTACCACTATTACAACTGTTACCACCATCACTACTACCTTCTACCACCATCACTACCACCATCAACCACTATCATAACTGCTTCCACTCTACCACCACCACCTTTATATTTTTCTACAAACCTTTTCATAAATTATATGTTTTTCTCACATTCTTTACCAAAGGGCTGGCACTAGAAGCTTTCTTTGGAGCCATGGTAGCTTATTTAGCACTTGCAAGCACTAAAATCAATGGAATATTATGAAATATTTCGTAGGAGCATGTGAGGGGACTGTCGCTCACTGGTAAACAATGGCACACTGGCTGGGAAGGCAGGCCCAGGTGGCTCAGAGCTTGAGTACGCGTCCCGGACGAAGGACGATTAGCGAGTTAACGGACCATTTGCGAGCCAATGTTTAGACGAAATAACGGGACTATTTCCGAAATGGACGACTTTCAGGCCAGACGATTATTGAGGTACCACTTTAAAACACTTGAAATTTTGGAAAGTTTCCAGACATAATAGAGAATGTAAACAAACCGGGTGGGGCGAGCAGTATTAGAAAGATGGGGAGCCGTATAGCGAGCTTTGGGCGTAAGTTGAAATCGCTGTATTAGCAGAATGCAGTAAGGTGAAACGCCGTAAAGCAGGGCCCTACTGTATATCACATCTGCATTTTGGTTGTCTGCCAATGCCTCCATAATTTTGTCATGGTGGTTCAGCAGCTGTGACAGGCACGATCGTCCTCGGTTATGCCAAGTGTGCTATTCTATGAAATTTGTAAAGTGACATCTCATCATACAGGTGTACACACACACACACACACACACACACACACACACACACACACACACACACACACACACACACGCACACGCACACGCACACGCACACGCACACACACACACTGCACTTGTGCCAGAACCTTACCAAGTTCCACTGCCTTGTGGATGTAATCGATGCCGTCACTGACTTCTACTGTCAGTCGAACATCAGGTATGAAGCCAAACCACTTCTGTGCAATCTCAACCACTGCCGGGTCCAGATCCACTGCTGTAACCCTCACCTAGAAGACACGTTGACCATCAATCAGTGTTTAGCTGCCACCAGTCTTGACCACCAAGGTTGTGAGACAAGGTAACTCAACATTAATGATTATTATTATTGTTATTTCTATTATTAGTTGTGGAAAGTACATGGATTAGTAATACCTGAGGGAAGTACTTGTGAATGTACGAAGCCAATGACCCTCCTCCCAGTCCAACGACCAGCAGGTCACTGAGCGTCGACGTCAGTCCCAGACCGCCCACCATCGCTAGGTGATGCTCGCATGACAGGTATGAGTAATCTACAGTGACTCTCTCCTTTGTGCCACTGCCACCACTTCCACTGCCACCGCCACCACTTCCACTGCCACCGCCACCCTTCTTTTTCTTCTCTCTCACTGGATGAAAACACAGAAGGGCAGTTTTGTTGTACATTGTGTATCTGACAGTCAGTTGTGTGACTGATGAACAATTGTTCACTGTACATTGTGTATCTGACAGTCAGTTGTGTAACTGATGAACAATTGTTCACCATATGTTGTGTATCTGACAGTTGTGTGACTGATGAACAATTGTTCACTGTACATTGTGTATCTGACAGTCAGTTGTGTAACTGATGAACAATTGTTCACCATATGTTGTGTATCTGACAGTTGTGTGACTGATGAACAATTGTTCACTGTACATTGTGTATCTGACAGTCAGTTGTGTGACTGATGAACAATTGTTCACTGTACATTGTGTATCTGACAGTCAGTTGTGTAACTGATGAACAATTGTTCACCATATGTTGTGTATCTGACAGTTGTGTAACTGATGAACAATTGTTCACCGTACATTCATTGAAAGTCAAGTCAGTGAAAGTCCATTCAAAGTGTGTCAAAGTGCACTGGTCAAACTCTTTAAGAGTACATTATACGTATATTTAAGAGTACATTATATATTTAAGAGTACATTATATATTTAAGAGTACATTATATATTTAAGAGTACATTATATATTTAAGAGTACATTATATATTTAAGAGTACATTATATATACTCTCCATACTCTCTCCCTCCAATCTGATATTCAATCTTTCATCACCTAATCTTTTTGTTATCCTCATAACCTTACTCTTTCCTGTATTCACCTTTAATTTTCTTCTTTTGGATGAATTTGGTAGGGTGTGCAAAAGAAGAAAATTAAAGGTGAATACAGGAAAGAGTAAGGTTATGAGGATAACAAAAAGATTAGGTGATGAAAGATTGAATATCAGATTGGAGGGAGAGAGTATGGAGGAGGTGAACGTATTCAGATATTTGGGAGTGGACGTGTCAGCGGATGGGTCTATGAAAGATGAGGTGAATCATAGAATTGATGAGGGAAAAAGAGTGAGTGGTGCACTTAGGAGTCTGTGGAGACAAAGAACTTTGTCCTTGGAGGCAAAGAGGGGAATGTATGAGAGTATAGTTTTACCAACGCTCTTATATGGGTGTGAAGCGTGGGTGATGAATGTTGCAGCGAGGAGAAGGCTGGAGGCAGTGGAGATGTCATGTCTGAGGGCAATGTGTGGTGTGAATATAATGCAGAGAATTCGTAGTTTGGAAGTTAGGAGGAGGTGCGGGATTACCAAAACTGTTGTCCAGAGGGCTGAGGAAGGGTTGTTGAGGTGGTTCGGACATGTAGAGAGAATGGAGCGAAACAGAATGACTTCAAGAGTGTATCAGTCTGTAGTGGAAGGAAGGCGGGGTTAGGGTCGGCCTAGGAAGGGTTGGAGGGAGGGGGTAAAGGAGGTTTTGTGTGCGAGGGGCTTGGACTTCCAGCAGGCATGCGTGAGCGTGTTTGATAGGAGTGAATGGAGACAAATGGTTTTTAATACTTGACGTGCTGTTGGAGTGTGAGCAAAGTAACATTTATGAAGGGATTCAGGAAACCGCAGGCCGGACTTGAGTCCTGGAGATGGGAAGTACAGTGCCTGCACTCTGAAGGAGGGGTGTTAATGTTGCAGTTTAAAAACTGTAGTGTAAAGCACCCTTCTGGCAAGACAGTGATGGAGTGAATGATGGTGAAAGTTTTTCTTTTTCGGGCCACCCTGCCTTGGTGGGAATCGGCCGGTGTGATAATAAAATAAAAAAAAAAAAAATATATATTTAAGAGTACATTATAAGAGTACATTATAAGAGTACATTCTAAGAGTACATTATATATTTTACTGAGTTTTTAATATCTTAACAATAACAAAAGATTAAATTTTTCAAATTTTTTTTCAAGAATTTTTTAAAAAATTATATATTTTTTTCCACTTAAATTTTTTTTTATTTAAAAACTATGAGAAAATATAGTGTGTACGGCCTCCATGACAAAGGCAAGTGTTAGGATACAGCTCAGGGGCCAAGAGGCAAAGGCTAGTATGGACCCCAGGCCAGGACTTAACCCTTTCAGGGTCCAGAGGCCAAAGTGCGCACCAGGGCCCAAGAATTTTCAAAAAATAATTTTATTTTTTCTTATGAAGTGGTAGAGAATATTTTTCTGAAGGTAATAAGACAACAGGTATGAAATTTGATGGAAAACTGACGAAATTATGCTCTCGCGAATTTTGATGTGTTGGCGATATTTACGCATTGGCGATTTTGCCGACTTTGACTCCCATTTTAGGCCAATTACAGTATTCCAGTCAACCAAATTCTTAGCTATTTCACTAGTATTACTTCTGTTCTATCGATTGAGCACAAGAAATCGCCATGTCAACTTTTTCAACTACAAAATAAAGTGATCGGAAATTGGTAATTTGTCCAATTTAATTCAAAGGTCATAATATTCCAATTTCAAAATAGGCTCCAGAATAAACAATGTAGGTATTCCTGGCACTAAACTAACATTTCCTCTGTTCATTAGTTATACACATTTTGAGGCTTTACTAATGAATTCCATTTTGATTTTTTATTCACATAATGAATTTTTATTCAAACCAAAAAATAGAAGATTTTTTGTTATGCAATACTGTAATAATTGTATAAATAATATCAGCACATTCGTGAATGTATATCAGACCTACCAGCTGGCATGTATTAGACTTGTGAGGTCATTTGTTTACTCTTGAACATCGGCAAAAATTTAACATTTCCGCTATTTTGAGCTCAGTTTCAAGTGATTTCCAGTATAAAAACCAATCAAAATCATCTCTATTTCTGTAATATGTCTTCCATTCTAACAAATGAGACCAAGAAATCGCAAATACAACTATAAAAAACATACGAAAAAACACTGCAAAGTTGCTGTTTTAATCGAAAATTACGGTTTCATTTTTTTCTCTCATTATACACTGTGTGCTGCAGGATTTGTTTTATGTGGTGCACACATACCACATAGATGTATTCTCTCATATCTAGGCCCAAATTTACTGCTCACAGCTTATCAGAGTGAGCCGAGCTCAGGGCGTAGATCTACGGTTTGGACCCTGAATGTAAAGCCGTAGATCTAAGGCACGGACCCTGAAAGGGTTAACTCACCTCTCAACAGTCGTGCCTCCGATTGTACCACATTGCGATTGGCCAAGAAAATGAGTCGGCGGACCTTGGCTGCCCCGGGCAGGTCGACGTCCTCAACAAGGTACTCGCCAGTGTAGTCGCTGTGGCCACGAGCCACCTCGGTCCTCGACCCCAGGTCCTCCCCAACTGACAAGAACGGCACCTAGGAAGACATAACACTGGCACCACTTGCTTTATCTGGCAGAGACAGACATGTGCCATATCTGTAGTACAGCAGTAGCCCAGAACCTAACCTGCTGTATAAGCAGGACCTTCCTGTACAGCAGTAGCCCAGATCCTAACCTGCTGTATAAGCAGGACCTTCCTGTATAGCAGTAGCCCAGATCCTAACCTGCTGTATAAGCAGGACCTTCCTGTGCAGCAGTAGCCCAGATCCTAACCTGCTGTATAAGCAGGACCTTCCCGTACAGCAGTAGGCCCAGATCCTAACCTGCTGTATAAGCAGGACCTTCCTGTACAGCAGTAGCCCAGATCCTAACCTGCTGTATAAGCAGGACCTTCCTGTGCAGCAGTAGCCCAGATCCTAACCTGCTGTATAAGCAGGGCCCTCCTATACACCAGTAGCCTGGAACCTAACCTGCTGTATAAGTAGAACCTTCCTGTACAGCAGTAGCCCAGAACCTAACCTGCTGTATAAGCAGGACCCTCCTGTACAGCAGTAGCCTGGAACCTAACCTGCTGTATAGGTAGAACCTTCCTGTACAGCAGTAGCCCAGAACCTAACCTGCTGTATAAGCAGGACCTTCCTGTACAGCAGTAGCCCATAACCTAACCTACTGTACAAGCAGTGCCCTCCTGTACAACATTAAAATGTATATACAATGGTGTATTAGATACATACACACACATACACAGAGGGACTTAAACAAGTGTAACCATGGATGCTGAGGGAAGGAGCAGAAGTACTATGTGAAACACAAAATAAAATCTACAAGTTTATAGACAAGTCTGCTAGCAGCAACAGTCTAGTTGACCAGTCAAGCACCAGACAAGCCACCAAATCTCAGGAAGACAGCGAAAGCAGTTCCTGCATGTAAGACATGTGCAAAAAACAGACAGCTTCGACTCTCATCTACCACAAACTGAAACATGCTCAGACATGTTAAATCTTGTCTTGTAACCTGATGTTATTCTGAGAGAAGTGAGAGAGAGAGGTGATAGAAGTGAGAGAGGTGATAGAAGTGAGAGAGGTGATAGAAGTGAGAGAGGTGATAGAAGTGAGAGAGGTGACAGAAGTGAGAGGGGTATAGGTGGACTGCATTTTCCTGGGATTCAAGATATTTGGTACTGTACTTTACCTGAGACCAGGGTGAAAACTGGAGGAGCAGGCAGCAATAACAGGGAACATACTCAGGCAGCAATAACAGGGAACATACTCAGGCAGCAATAACAGGGAACATACTCAGGCAGCAATAACAGGGAACATACTCAGGCAGCAATAACAGGGAACATACTCAGGCAGCAATAACAGGGAACATACTCAGGCAGCAATAACAGGGAACATACTCAGGCAGCAATAACAGGGAACATACTCAGGCAGCAATAACAGGGAACATACTCAGGCAGCAATAACAGGGAACATACTCAGGCAGCAATAACAGGGAACATACTCAGGCAGCAATAACAGGGAACATACTCAGGCAGCAATAACAGGGAACATACTCAGGCAGCAATAACAGGGAACATACTCAGGCAGCAATAACAGGGAACATACTCAGGCAGCAATAACAGGGAACATACTCAGGCAGCAATAACAGGGAACATACTCAGGCAGCAATAACAGGGAACATACTCAGGCAGCAATAACAAGGAACATACTCAGGCAGCAATAACAAGGAACATACTCAGGCAGCAATAACAAGGAACATACTCAGGCAGCAATAACAGGGAACATACTCAGGCAGCAATAACAAGGAACATACTCAGGCAGCAATAACAAGGAACATACTCAGGCAGCAATAACAGGGAACATACTCAGGCAGCAATAACAGGGAACATGGTAATTACCCTGGGGTTAATTACCTTGGCATTAGAGTTTAACTTGGGTGGGGCCAGGAGCATGACTCTGGCAGAGAGTTCATCTTGCACTGCTTGTAAGGAGGAGTAGGTCTGGCCCCTGGCCAGGTGTGCCACCACCAGGCGCTGGGTCGAGGCACTCTCTGCTAGCTTGCGTCGGCCCTCGGCAGTGCCAAACAACCACTCATGCTCCCTGGTGAAGAAATAGGAAGTTAGAAGTAAGAGGAGGAAAGTTAGGAGTAAGAAGAGTAGAACAACACAAACTAGGGGCACCTTAAACGACCTAACATCGCCCGAAATACCCCCGCATGATAGTGGCTTTCTTTGTATTTAACAAATCAAAATTGTAGTTACACACTGTAAACAATGTTCGGAAATAAAATCTTAATCTTCAAGTTACCTGCCGTGTGGCACTATGAACACGGCGAACTGAAGGTTGTCGTTGCCTGTCGTTGTCGTCCTGCTGCTGTTGATGCCTATGTTGACAACATGCAGGATGTACCTGGTGCATCCCGTCGATGCCTCCACCAACTCCATTGTCGTGTCGTCAACGATGTCCTGATGCAACGACGCAATTATCAGTGATGGTGCAGTGTTCATGGTGTAATAATAATAATCATATTAGAAATATTAATTATAACAATAATAATAAGAGACTTCATGGAGAAGTGGAACAGAATTCTTCCTCCGTAAGCCATACATGTCACAAGAGGCAACTAAAATACCAGGAGCAAGGGGCTAGTAACCCCTTCTCCTGTATACATTACCAAAGTTAAAAAGAGAAACTATTTTCTTTTTGGGCCGCCCCGCCTCGGTGGGATATGGCCGGTGCATTGAAAGAAAGAATAATAATAATGAGAGAAGAAACACATTAACCATCGTTTGGTCAAGGGTTGTTTGAGTGTCAGCGGCGATGGGTGAACAAGTCTAACCTGTGATTGCAGCCTGTGCCGCAGGAGGGCAAAGTGTTGCAGCTCCTGGACTGCCTGCACTGCTGCTTCACTGCTTGCCATGCGCCGCACCTCCTCGCCCTCCAGCTGGACCTCCATGACCTGGAATGACAGGTATGCGGTCATCAGAGGTCCA